TTACGCCGCTATTCGCAATATGCCAGCACTATCACGGTGGGGGACACCAGAAATGGGCTTCACACAATGTACCCATGTCGGGAATCGGACCCGGGTCTTCGGCGTGACGAGCGAACGCTTTAACCACTAGGCTACCCTCCCGCCCCTAAAGATAGTAAAAAAATAACATGTATAATTGATATAAGACCTGTTTCCTGATGATCTCAATGATGCATGTTGGAGGAAATACATGTCAGCATAGCATAGCATAGCATAGCATAGCATAGCATAGCATAGCATAGCATAGCATAGCATAGCAAATTAATTAGGAGCTATTAATTAGGCATTATACTCCGAAGACGATATGTATCATGCACGTAATAAGTATATCTCCAGATTGAGTACCATAGTATTACTGGGTATTTTGGGAACCAGTTTCTGAGGAAAGGGAGGGTAGAATTACAAGGTTTATTCACATAATCCCAAGTCGTGTAACCCTGTGAACCCGGGATGTTCTCCACATACACTATCGTGACAAAAGAACAGGATCTAAGTACTAAATAGACTTCTTCTGTAAGTCTTGCCCTCTCTGTAAATCTTTTATTGAAGTTAGTGTGTGTGTGTGTGTGTGTGTGTGTGTGTGGGGGGGGGGGGGGGGGGGGGGGTTTACCTTCGTGCGACCCGGTTGTGGTGTGTGAATACCCCACCTTTGCTGTCTGTTATTCGCTCGGTTGAAACTGTACGTCATAAGGAAATATCAAGCTTATATGTCACTAACTGTGAGCAGACCCATTAACTATGATTTGTCACGCGGAAAGCCTGTTTGAGCTCGGTTACATGAGCAGACCCATTAACTATGATTTGTCACGCGGAAAGCCTGTTTGAGCTCGGTTACATGTATGGGGTCGTGATTCCCGGAATGTACCTACTGCCACTAGTCCGACTCAAACCGTGAACATCCAGGTAAAAGTAGGTCTTCAGCAACCCATGCAACCACTTGAAAAAATGATTTCACCGAAACATCACAGAACGTTTTCAGAACGTTACTAGGCTGATAGGTCCCGATAGGTCTCTTGCCTCGGGTAGATGACATCTTGTTTGTTTGTTTGCTTGTCTGTTTGTTGTTTTAACTTTTATTTTTTTCCAGCAGAGGAATATCGGTGGTAGATTATTGTATTAGCGCTTACGAATTGTTAGACAGTATCAGCAATTGTAGGTAATAAGAAAAACGACCTTGCAACTGAACCGGATGTATAGATGTAATTGATCCTACAACTATACTGATACTGGTCCATGCTATGCTGAGGTGGAGGGTTGATCTTGATGTCAGTGTACAGTCCGACAGCTCGGGGCAATACAGGATCATACAGTTCACGTGTTATATCCACGTGACGGGTAGCCTGGGATTTTATCGGGGAAAAAACGTCCCAGAAAATTCTTTAAAAAAAATAATTATGCTCCAGACTGATGGTAAAGAAATTGGCCTGCGACGAAAAATACATAGTTGCAACATGTTTTTTTTAACGATTTGGGCTCTTAGTTTTTTTTGTTTTTTTTTTAAATGTCTGGTTTTGCAGTTCACATGGCATCCCAATGCTGCCGATTGACTGTTACACTCGGACAATGAGGGCTCGGTAATACTCGGTTAAATCGGTTACAGCCAACAGATCATTGTACCGTTAACCACTTATCCTTTCAGTCGACTGGTAAAGTGGTAATCAACCGACACCACCACTTTATTTCAAGGTTGAAGGTAGTGGTTATGAAAACCGTTGGTTAACATTTGTTAATTTAACACTAGGCATTAGACTCCTGCAAAACACAAGGCGTATTACATTGTTCACTCAGTAAGTCTGAGAGATGTTTTATCAATGTGATGTGCTGCTGATCTGTGCAGATAGAACGTTCCATAGTGACGTACTCAGAAAAGTGTTACTTGTACGACTCGATGACTTTCTTTGAGGAAGAAACAACACTTTCCACATGCCCTGCACGAATAGCCACAGTGTAACGGTCTATTTCATGTACACTGTCAGGCATTCCATTGAAAACAAACCCATGATGCTTAAAGTTCGCACACCAAAAGACCAAGTAGCTGATCAATACATCAAGTTCACTCACCAAAGACCAAATTGCTGAAATATGCATCGACTTCGCATACCAAAAGACTAAAGAGCTAAAATATTCGGACAAGTTCGATAAATAAAAAAATCATATCTGTTTAGACACTTAATTTTGTACATCACTGTAGTGATTTGACAACCGCGAGGATTTGTGAGACTTTCTTAAAATTGTTTTAAGGCGCATAACCTCGCAAGAATATATCCACATACACTTTCTTAATTCTATTAAAATAGTTATCTGGTGCGACTACCTGTTACTATTCAATATCTATTTCAACCTGTTCACGTGTGTTCATTGTCTACAGTAGTAATATCTGTGTTAGATTTAAACATTTAAACATCAAGCTAAAGACTATTCCCATCGATCATTGGGTGATCAGGAAAGCAATATCTACTCTATTGACTAAATATGATATCACACAAGCGATATCTCCTGTGTGAGCCATTTCTGCATATTAAATGAGGTTTGCTATATTATTTCTCCTACATCTACACATTTCAAACTGATTCTCAAATACTACACAAATATTATTAATATAAAAATGACTTCAAGCTTACCACCAACCCTACTGCTAAATCATCGCTAGATTGCAACCAACTAACATTACACGGAATTTGTCATGACAGCACGCGAGTGGAATTTGCACAAACAGGACCCAGATATGTTTGAGATTATATCAGTTTCGGATATATATCGATTTCATAGGATAATGGATAGGCGTGGGTGAACACTGAGCGTAGGCGTGGTGTGCGTGGTTGTGGCTTTAGGTGTGTTGGGTGTGTGGTCATCAGGCATAGCTTCTGTATCGCCACGACGTTCTGCATGAGAATAGGTTTGAAATGTTTCAGTTTGGAGATAAACATTATTTGTTTTCAGATTTGAGGGTGTTATTGAGTATTTGATACCCGGAAATTTCATTCGGAACTGACGTCGTTGTTAATGTATCTGTTAAAATACATTGAAAGTGGTTGTACTTATTCTAGGATTATAATCGTGAGTGTGAGTGAGTTGGGTTTAACGCCGCTTTTAACAGTATTCCAGTCATATCGCGGCGTGTCAGCTTCATGTGGGAGGAAAGTGATATAATCGTGAGACTCATGATCGAACATGCATACAATGTACTACTTTAAATTTTAGTATTTCGTTTTCCGTCGCTTTATAACATGCATACATGCAATAGGCAAATACGTTAAGAATATATTGTTTTATGTGAGATGAGAGCGGACAGCTGTCTGTTTCTGTGATCCCTTGACATTGTTCATTGACCACATGAGGACAGATCAGTATGTTTCATTAAACCTCAAAACTACTGACGGCCTCTGCCCGCAGAGCGGAAGGTCGGGCGTTCGATCCCCGGTGACGTCATACCAAACCACGTTAAACGATGGTACTTGCTACCCTAAAGTTGTAACCCTGTCTGGCGCTCGGCTTTTAGGGGCTGAAATAAGGACTGGTTGGCTCGGAGACAGTATACTGTGTCTGAGTGGGGTATTCATGTTAAACTGCGGCATGGTATCTCAGTTGGCTAGCACTATAAATCGGCATCAGTCTTGGCTAGTATAAGCAGCCACGCACACACATACACACACATACACACATGTTGCTATATACATTGTAAGTGCAATAATCTTGAACGCGACGTTAAACCCCATTTCTCCTTACCTCACTACTACTACTACTAGAGGAAATGAAAATCCCCGTGCACCATTAAAAATCCTATTAAAATAATATTAATATGGATTTTCAGTCATGCATGATAATCACATGTACAAACACTGCCACAATAACACATGATGACCCTTTAATGGCACATGCGCCCCGGTCGTTACATGCATAAAATCCCATAGTAAAATATTCGTCGAACGTTCAAAGAAGAGTCAATACAAACAAAGTAGTGAGTGAGTGAGTGAGTGAGTATGGTTTTACGCCGCTTTTAGCAATATTCCAGCAATATCACGGCGGGGGACACCAGAAATGGGCTTCACACATTGTACCCATGTCGGGAATCGGCGTGACAAGCGAACGCTTTAACCACTAGGCTACCCGACCGCCCCTACAAACAAAGTAAACAACGGAGGTGTTTTAACTGTGAAAAACAACTTTGGCCAAACCTCGTAAACGTTATGCCCCTCTTGAAATGAGCCGCTTCGTGCACTTGAAGTGCTTGAAACTGGAGTTGCACAAATCGTTGTTATAGGTATTTGGTGTTCATCGTAACATCATACAGTAACTCTTTCATGTGATTTGATGCACTTCGCGAAGTATGACCCGTTTTATTACAATATAGATCTTGATTATCGATCTGTGGCACTCAGCGCGACCAGTGATCTAACAATTGACACCGCACTCCATTAGCCTGAGATGACGTTCACAGGGGACATATCTTGACACTGCCGTGGTGAATTCAAGTTCAATGGACATCAGTCTATTTTCCTGTTGCAAATCGTCCTTCGTTTTGCTTTATTTATTTTTTCCCATGATAGTCAGTGATACGCAGATAAGTGATAAGTTTTCCCCGTTAGTTTTGTTTGCTTGTTGTTTAACGTCGCACTCAGCAATATTCCAGCAATATGACGGCGGTCTGTTGATGATCGAGCCTGGACCAGACAATCCAGTGATTGATTCATAAACATTGATATGACGATATCTTATTCCATCGAAACAAACACAACCACTTCTTCATTTGAGGATATGTTTGGCTAACACAAATATGCCATGAAATACTCACTACACGGGACGATGCATTCAACCGCTCCCATTTATTAAACAAACTGGGACTGTGGATATTTGAAAGATGCATTGGCTAACAACTAAGAGTACAACCGCAACTGGGTCATTCCCTTGAGGCAGCCCCGCTATATACATAAAGACTCGTTGACACGATCGCTCTGTTCCGATTTACTGAAGCGCGGAAACCGACCGGACTAAATAGATCCGGGTTCGTTCGGATGATCACACCCTCTGCAGCCAATAGGCTGGTGAGACAGCCATCTGACCTTAGTGTATAGTTGTTCATGTGTTGAACATACTCGTCGCCATAGGACAGGTTAACAGAGGTTGTCAGACTGTCCCAGGAGCAGGTACTTGCGTCAGTGAGGCAGTGTGTTGAGAGTGTGTTGAGAGACAGTACCTTGTGTTGCTGAGGTTAAGGCAGTTTACCAGTCACAGTTACCTAGTTGAAGATGTCCGCTGTGGTGATGTGGCTGTGTGTGTTGAGTTGTGTCATCACATATGCATCAGCAACTGGAAGGGAGAAAAGGCAGCTGACGCCAGTCAAGCCATCCTGTGATGTAATGGGCCCTTGTTTCTTTGGCTCATTTTGTAACAACGGTGGGACATGCAAGACGAACATGACGACATGTGGCATCTACTGTGTCTGTAAGCCAGGGTTCACAGGAAAACTTTGTGACACATGTGAGACCGACCCGTGCGCTGTCAACTCAACCTGTCAGAATGGAGGGACCTGTGAAAACAAAGCCTGTGAACCAAAATGTAAGTGTCCTTCTGGGTATATGGGGGATCTTTGCGAAACGCCGGCCCCTTCGACGACCCTGACTGTCACGTCGCCTACAACGAATCAAACGGCACCGTCAAGCACCGATACAGGGTGTAGCGTGGACATGTGTCTGTATGACAACCCATGCACTAATGCCGGAACGTGTGCGGACTGTGGTACATCCTGCATTTGCACTATGGAATATACTGGACGGTTTTGTGAAACGCTACTGTCATCTACTTCGAAAGCGGAAACTACAGTCAGCGCATCAACAGCATTTGCACCAACAATGTGTAAGAGCGGTTATTTCTGTTTCCATGGCGACTGTTTAATAACAAGTAGCGGTACAAGATGCGACTGTCACAAAGGTTTCACTGGTCAGTTTTGCAATTGGCCATGTGACCTTGACTGTGGGGACAATGGAAATTGCAGTCGCCTTGACATCAGCAAACCTGAGTTCTGCAACTGTGTCTCACCTTACACCGGTGACGCCTGCACGGACGTAATCCAAAGAACACGCATTATTACAGGTGAGGCAAAACACACAATGTATAGGGACCGACCATTTCACACCCTGGGGAGGGGTTGGTGGGGATGGGGGTTGGTGGGGGTGCGCTTTGACATTACCTACCTCCACCTTCCCCTCCACACACACACGCACGCACGCACGCACGCACGCACACACACACACACACACACGAACATACGCTCACAAATAAAATGTTCTGTCCCAAATAGACAAGGAGTCTAGCCGGTAAGTCCCTCGGTGTAAAATAGACTTTTCTTTTAGTAAAACCAAGATAGTCCTGTTACGTGTCCCTCGAAGCAGTCCCAGACTCAAAGGGAGCCAGCGTCGGAACAGGGAATAGTCATACCCTGTATTCGGAAGTATTTTACTGTATAATCATATACTCCACTATTTATCTTTCAAACAGGTCGGCGCAACTGATTACCTCACGCAAATGTGAGCATTGGGGGCATAGTGGATAAAATTACACAAGGACTGTTCACGATGAGGTTATTGTCAAGTGCCTCGCCTTAAGAGGTTATATCCGACTTGGCAATTTAGTGCATCAAATATCTATAACTAGAAAGCGGACTCAAAGGGCTTGGTTAGAAATGATAAGCTTGTGTGGATACTTACAGTCTGTTGGCAATATATGTATATTATTTCAGAAAACAAATCTCTACGCGCTTTCGTCATCGTCTTCATGACTACATATCCATATAGTTTATACGCTGAGTCACTCCCTTGTCCTATTGTCTGGGTGCGCTTATTCGTCTCGCGTTTCAAGCAAAGGGCACTTGTCTATTATTAGACGATCACGAGCGAGTACGGATGAGTATTCACGCGTGTGATCGACAAACAGTAACACTGAAAGCAGTTCGGGTTAGGCACATGACCCCCGAATACCGCAGGCGGGGTTCCGGGTCGGAATAGGTCCCCAACAACCTATGCTGTTCACAGGAGGCGACTAAATGGATCGGGTCGGGCTCGGTGGTTTCGTTGAGTGCGTGCCATCGACGGATACCGACGCCGTTGATCGTTGCTCATTGTATCAATCACTGATTTATCTGGTCATGGTTCGATTATTTACAGACCTCCGTCATATATAGTGCTGATAACGTCGTTCTCGACAGTAACCCAGCTATACGGTCTGTAAATAATCGAGTCTGGACGAGAGAATCCAATGAAGGGCATCATGAGCATCGATCTACGCCGTTGGGATACGATGACATGCATCAACCAAGTCAGCGAGCCTGACCACCCGATCCCGTTAGTAGCCACTTAGGACAAGCATGGAGTCTACCCCGGATCTATAATGTACTGAAGGTATGGTGCAGTTTTTCAGAGTGGAAGTTTATGGCGAAATATTGTTCTGATGTCTCAGAGTCCATATACCGGTACAAGGTCTGCCCTAACAAAACATTGATGTAATTGTTGGGCTATAAGGAAGCTATATTAAAATCCTATATCAAAATTGTTTCAGTCATACCTCGCAAAATGAGGAGCCACTGATGTGATCGTAGTGACGTGTACGTATTGACCAGACATGCATAGACAAACGTCCCAACGATCGCGAACGCAAACCCAAGAGTCCCTGTACCCGGAGACAATAAGAATGTCAACAAACGTACTGCTTGCTATCCCCTCTGAGAGGTGTACAAGTACGGGCCGGAGGTAGATTTCCGCTAGAACCCATTGTCCCTTTATGTAGTGGGACAGATGTCCCCAGGGCATGAATCTGCGTAAACAGTGTGGAGGATGTAAGGAAAGTGACCGTTATCCCTATGTCAGATAGTGTAACAGTGTAAGGGATCTTAAAGTCTCTCTAAATTCCCTACTCATGTGTATAATACAATTGTAAAATGATTTGGTGTCTACTTATTCTGTTTTCATTATTTCTGTTAAATGCTGTCAGTTTGTACAAACTGAAAAGTGTATGTAATTGAATCTCATGTACCACCGTGGGTGTTTTCCTGAGATATAAGCAACCAATGTTTGCCGTAAAAGGCGACAAGGCTTGTCGTAAGAGGCGACTAACGGGGTCGGGTAGTCAGGCTCGCTGACTTGGTTGATGCATGTCATCGATCCCAATTGCATGATGTAGTCAGTCACTGTATTGTCTGGTCGAGACTCGATTATTTATAGCTGGAATATTGCTGAGTGCGGCGTTAAACAACAAACCAACCAACCAACCTGAGATGTAAATGAGCTGTGCTGTCACCACACAGTACTCAAGTGAGCCGGTGTCCCGGTATAAACTCCCCCGGAGAATCTGTTCTGAAATATAATCTCCCCCGGGCGGATAAATTTCGCGCCCCCCTCAGTATAAAGTCTCCCCCCTGATTATTCGGTTTGTTGCGATGTCTTTAAGTACTATATTCTTTAAATAGTTATCTTTAATGTAAGGAGGGTTACTTTAAAAAATAGATTATGAAATATGGTCATAATGAATTGATATTTCAGCATATTTTATTTGGTAACTGTACCTTCCCTCCTAAAATAATTATAAGACATAATCATACCAAACTTATTTGAATGAAATGACTTAATGTAACATGACGGTTACTGTTGTAACTGAATTCAGAAATCTTATTAATCCTCGCAAACATTCGGTTTTAACACTAACTACGTAAAAACTGTCAACATATCCACGCGCGCCTCCAGCTCAGGCTGTCCGTTATACTCTGATTAAAGATCTAAAATATATTCCTTAATACAGGCTACGATTTTAAAATGGTATCAGTGTAATATCAGTGGCTAGAATATCATGGTGAAACCAGGTTTCTGTTAAACATACAACATCATAACTATCTAAGTCAGCACTGATTAAATCTACTTTGTCTTTAAGACTGCGTACGGTTAGATGTATAATCTTTAAATCTGGACTATGCAAAGGTCCTAGATTCGGATGGATATCACCACAGCAGAAGAGAAAAAGTAAAACTAAGAATGATAATCGGAAATTATATAAGCAAAGTAACCCAAAATATAGAGAAATGTGTATCATCTTCCCGAAAAGATTAGCATGTAGAATAGATTCAAAAACACCAACCGCCAGCCTGTATTAAACAACATCGTCAAAGCAAAGTGTACATGTAAAAAATTGTTACAATCGGGCTGGCGGTGAATCTTAATGAAGAACACCTTGTTAAAAAAACACACCGAAACTGATTTGCATAACTGATGTCCACAACATATTGCAAAATATGAAAATAGTAAAAATGATACAGTATAACCTCACACTGAAGAGAAAACAAAAACAACACAGAGAAGTAAAATAGCACGTCATATAGAAATGAGATAAAGTAATCTGAGAAGGGGTTCCTACGTTATATACAACTTAAAATAAATATTATAATGAAAAACGAAAGGAAAAGTGGGGACCCTCAACCACTGAACTGCATGGCAAGTATTTATAAAACGACCGGGGGAGGAAATATTCTGGGGGGAGATCTTATTTCGTAGGGTGGGGGAGATTTTATTTCGAGAGGGGCGGAACTGTACCGGTATAAATTCGCCGGGGGGAGATTTTATTCTGGGGGCGAATATATTTCGTGACACCGGCATGAAGCGGAAAATTACATGGAGAGGATATGGGCTCACCTGGTCATCCGCCCTTGTCACAGACTGACGTCAATGCCTATTGTGTTTCTCGACTCGCTTCAGTGATCATTATAATCTGAGTGACAGGCATGTCTTGAATATTTAAAAACTAACGGGTGTTGTGTATTCTTTCATTGTAGTGACAATTGTAGGTTCGATTGGTTGAAGTAGTCAATCGGGTGATCAGGCTCGCTGACTTGGTTGATTGCGCGTCATCGGACACCGACGGCGTGGATCGTTGCTCAATACATCAATCACTGGATTATATGGTCAAGGTTCGATTATTTACAGACCGCCGTCATATATCTGGAATAGCGTTCATAACGTCGTTCCGAGCAATATTCCAGCTATGCGGTCTGTAAGTAATCGAGTCTTAGGTTGCCCTAACAAAACGTTTATGTCAGTGTTGTGCTGAAAAGACATACATAAACAAGGTTATCTCGACTCGCTTCGGTGATCATTACAATGTCTTGAATATTTAAAACCTAATGGGAGTTTGGGAGTGTATTCCTTCATTGTAGTTACATTCACACTGGCCACACCCGTAGATTTGATTGCTTGAAGTGGTCAATACATTATTGCAATAAGCGTTTTCAACTATCTGTGGACTTTGTACAGGATTCATTCATAACAGAAAAATATTCAATTTCACCTATACTGTCGTGGTGTAGAATCGCTAAACTAGACCAACAGGTAGCAAGAATACTTGGGTTGGGCCCTGTTTAGTCCTTGTCATAAAAGGCGACTAACGGGATCGGGTGGTCAGGCTCGCTGACTTGGTTGATGCATCTCATCGATCCCACATTGCGAGGATCGATGCTCATGATATCAATCACTGGATTGTTTGTTCCAGACTCGATTATTTACAGACCGCCGTCATATAGCAGGAATATTGCAGAGTGCTGCGTTAAACAAAAAAACAACAACCAACCAACCAACCCTGGGGAACACATTCGGGAACACCTAGTAGCATCACAAGTGCTTCAGAAACACATGCTCATAATGTAGTCGGAATCGTGTAATCGACTCTGCTTTAAGCAGAGTTGTCTTATGACTATGGAAAGGGTTTTGTCGTTTTTAGTTATGTGTCATCATTTGATTTGTAAGTCGACATTCTGGTTAACAAGATCATTGGGGGTGTGGAGTGGGGGTTGGTGGGTGGGGGTGGAGAGGCGGGGGAGGGATGTCCTTTGGGACACTTTACGTACTCGACCAATTTCATCTCGCAGCTAAAACCATTTGCAGGTTACGGGTCGCTACTGGATGTCATTTCTAATTTATGTGGGGGCACGGGTGGCCCAGTCGTCTAAGGCGCCGCGATTCGCTGAGCAGAGTTGCGTCCCTGTGAAACCAGAACCCTGTGATTGTGGGTTCGAATCCCGGTTCGCCCCGATCATGTTTCTAGGTTTGTCATCACCATACCCGTGCTCGTGGGTTTCACCGAAGTGGTAAATGTCTGAGACCTGCATCATTTCGGGTTTTCCCCCCACATTAAGCTGACACGCCGCGATATAATACTGTTAAAAGCGGCGTTAAACCCAACTCACTCACTCTAATTGATGTAATATTTGTTCATCTATGACAAAAATATCGATCTTATCCATTAGTATGTGCGATTGGTATTCATTATTTCTTTCTGTTTCTGTTTATCTCAGGGTTAAATATATACTCACCGCCAATAGAAACGCGAACCATAGAAACATATAGAAAAGTATGTTGGTTAAGATGAGATGTTTCCAATGTGTACCACTTAATGACAAAACAGTCAAATGTTACCACAGAGAGTCTTTATTCTTATCACGATATGCTGCACGTGATTTCCAAAACGTTACACCCTAATCCTGCACGAGACAAATTGTGCATCTCGAGTCATGGATCTATGACGTCACATGTGATGCGTTCATGAGCGTCGTTTCATGCAAAATAACAGTATGTTCGTTTGTGCATCGAACCAAACTAATGTCTCTTGAATATGAGTAATTCTTCATATATTACCAACATATATGGTTTCTTGTACGTTTCTTTTAGCGGTGAGTATATAAGCGATCATATAGCGTGTTGTTTTGGGTGAAAAGTTTAAAACACCCGAGTTAAATAAGTAAGACACTTTTCCTCAGATTTGCCATTGAATCGGATCAAACTAATCGTCGACAGTAACTGAACTGTGTGTTGCCCATTGTCCCGTGGGTAATATGCGTTACAAGAACAGGCGATCTCATATCTTAATCTTCCATAGGTGGCCCAGTCGCCAAAGGCGCTGAAATTTGTGTTGAAGAGTTCGTGGGGTTGAATTTCAGGTTCGCCCTGAGTATGATCCTTGGTTTTAACCGTAGTACATCAGATCTGGAAGACCATTCTTAATAACTACGATTATGATTACAGTTTGTTTGTTCAATGTCTGTCACATTGATATTATATTTTGTTCTATAGTAACCGGAAACTGGAAATCCTGGCTGATTGGGTGTATAATTGCACTATTGGCCGTCCTCGGGTCCCTTGTCCTCGTGGCCTATGTCCTCATGAGGAAGAGGAACATCTTCATCATGCGAGTCCTATACTACTTCCAGCCTCACGAGGATGATGGTGAGTAATGTCAGTTGCTACGGGAGACACCACAAAGCAGTGTATGGTTATTGCAGAGTGGGAAAAATTGGAATAATAATAATAATATTATTATTATTATTATTAAGTCATTATCTGGATTATAATATATGAGAGAGCGATGTAGTACGCATGCATTAAGATTATGGATCTGACAGGTCTCTATATTCGCTGATCATACATGATTCCAAACTAAATTCCAATTTTTAAAAATCATCATGTCATTCTTAATCATCATAGTACCCTATTTCAGACCTAGATCATTTATCTGCGTAGGCACTGATGTGACGGCAAACAGCACAAAGTACATAAATTTTAAAATGAATATGAAAGTGATGGAAGAAATGACAACTACTGGTGCTTTCACTGAGTCGAGGAGACTTCAGTGGAGTCCATCCTCTTTTTGTCTATGGTCGTAAAGAATGTTGTTACTCTCGTCAGATAAAACATCAGCATTCTCAGAATACGAAAAGTAGCATATGTGTACTTGTCATTTGTAGATGGAAAGGAATTTGATGCTTTCATATCGTACAAGTCCTCACCAGAAGATGAGACGTTCGTTTATAGGACTTTGTATCCCGAGCTGGAAAAACAACGGGGCTTCAAGCTGTGTTTGCATCAGAGAGATTTTGTCCCAGGAGAAAGTATGTATGTCGTAGTTAGCATGTAAATGTGCGTGGATCCAATAAACGTAACTTGAGTTTTCAAGGTTCCTTTCGTTTCAAGCAAGTAACTTCTACGAATTTTAGAAAATGAAATCTGAAACTCCTACAATATGGCCAACTTTCCAGAAAATGATCTCATCCCCGTAGAATGTACTGGCTGAAATACTTTTAATAAAAAATCTTGTCCTTTCTAAGACGTCCTCTGTAATATGAGTGAAAAGAATTCTTCCGTTTCCTATTTGTATGTTTCATACTCGGAATGACCTTGACCTCTTCTTGAAGAACATATTTTTATGCCATTCCTGTATGTGTTTCAGCTATAGCAAACAACATCCTATGGGCCATCGAGAAAAGTCGGAGAACGATTCTGGTTCTGTCCCCGAAATACATGGAGAGTGACTTTACCAGGTTTGAGTACCAGGTTGCACACAATGAGATGCTGAAGCAGAAACACAAGGTCATCCCTCTCCTTCTGGAGGACATCAGTCAACAGAAGCATCTCACAGACAGAACCCTCACCAGCATCCTAAAGTCGATCACCTACATAGAGTGGCCTCGGAACGGAGAAGAGAATAAGCTCAAGACATTCTGGCGAAGGCTTGAACTCTCTCTGCCCAAAAGGAAGTCCAGGTCCATTGAAGATGGCGGGACAGACACTAAAACATCAAGGCCTACATCTTATGCAAATTCTGCTTTTGAATCCAGTCCGGAATCTTTCAGTCTGGAACGAAGTGGGGAAAAGTCAGAAAAAGAGGTTTTTAAGATACAGGATAACTTGCAAGGAAAACAGGGTCCAGCCAAGGACGATTTAGAGAAGATTGATCTGGTGGTAGAAACTGAAGAAAGTAAGAAGCCATCGAGCAGTAAGAACCTGAAGGACTTTTTCGCAGAACCATGTAATGATGATGTGTTTAATGCAATGCGTGAAAGTTCAGAGAGACTGGAACAAACTTTAGAGGTGTAACGCTAAGCCAATAGGAGCCAGGAAAAAGAGTGCTACGCGCTTGTGTACACACGGATTTGAACCAAAATGACTATTTCAGCCATGTAAATATATGTATGTACTTGCAACTGTATAGAAGACAATATTACCATGATAATGTACAGCTTTCAATTCTAATTGGTGTAGCAGAGTATCAAGTCATAATATATTAACTTGTACAGCTGCTTAATTTGATCGAGTGGCAAATGTTTTGAAGAGAAAATCACATGATTCTGATAATTTTCGGTTGTTTGTGGAAATAGAATATATCCGATTTCAGGCGGCCTGGCTTTTGTAATTTTGTGTACCTAGACATTCTATTTTCATTCAAGGGCTTGCCAAAGTCTTGATAAGACAGGAGCAAACCACCGGAAGCAGACTTTTTTATTTGAGAGTTCAGTTCGTATTGAACAAATAAACAAGTGACCCTCACAAATATCATTTCACATCACCAATTACTTATGTGTATCTTATTTTCTTATGGTGTCAGTGAAGAAAACGAGGATTCTGAATTTATGAATTATTGTGTTGTTTTCTGAATTTATCATTAACAGATGTAAAATACCTGGAAATGACCGTCATGTTAATATATTCCGAAAGGTTTGTTATTACGCCACAAAGTACTGAAGTATATCAAGTATCCCATTGCATCAAACTAAAAACTGTTCTTAATGTCAGTTAAGTTATTTTTTGTTGGAGACAATATCCCCTGATACACCTGTCGACGTGGTAGTGTCAAGGCTTGTAAAAACGTGGAATCATTATGTAATAAAGATGGAAAAACCACAAAAAAATGTGTTCTATTACTCAGATTACCTATATATACCTTTAGACGACGTTCATATTCATAGTAATAAATATTTCTTTTGTCCAGGCATCCTGAAATAGCCATTTTAAATTGGCACATAAAACAATGGGTAAAAGCCGTGTGACGTCATATTCTGGACCCGGTCGTGTCAAAACTTAATTAACTTTTGAGCACGTTCTTATTCCTGTCATCTTTCATATGAGTAATTGTCCCGTTCTCTTGACTCGAAAACTCAAGTTGAGTCCCATGGAGACACGCTAGAACCCTATGATAGTGGGTTCGAATCCCGTTTCGAATTGTGTTTCAAGGTGGGTGTGCACCATATCCGTGCTCATAGGTTTCACAAAAGTGGTAAACGCTTTCCTCCCACATTAAGCTGATACGTCATGATATAACTGAAATACTGTCAAAAGCGGCGTTAAATCCAATTCACCTACTCACACATCTCATGTGCTGTACGTGTTTTTTTGTTTCAAGAGCATTACACAACTTTTTTTATGGACATCCTGTATTAGACCCCAAACCTCCATTAAGTAATTTCCCGTTTAATGGCACATTAGTTAATGGAGGTTTAATGACACGTTAATGAATCACATAAGTTTGATACAACCGGGTTCTGGGAGTATAAGAAGTTAAGAGCTTATTCTTTATAAAAGGAATCACGACAGAATGATTGCATATATGGTGAAAACGGGTGTCATCACTGATGTTCTGTGATCCATTCACGTAATTATCATAGCTATTTTGCCTTCTACTCCCAATGGAATCTGCTTTGGCGGATAAACAAGACTGATTATTCTCGGGTGTTGACGTCTTATATGCATGTGGTAACCAGTATTCAAACTTTACCATTGCGTCCAGGGTAATCATATTGAACCAGGACAACCAAGGCGTGATTGTCAGAGCATCACACAACCAGCCTGGGTGTTGACGTCTTATATGCATGTGGTAACCAGTATTCAAACTTTACCATTGCGTCCAGGGTAATCATATTGGACCAGGACAACCAAGGCGTGATTTTCAGAGCATCACACAACCAGCCTGGGTGTTCCCGTTTCGTGTCAATGAGAAGGAAGGGAACTTAAATATTTCGTGACTGGTGCTTGGTGATAACATTGAGGAAGTCCTTATACATCCTTTTTTCGGGAAAAGTGGAAATAGTTTATCACAAGAGTAATCGTGAGATGACATATCCCCCCAGTCTGGTGCAATTCGGAAATGGAGTTTGGCTACTAGTACCCCTTTCTTGGTTCATTGCCATTGGATACCTTCAGATAAGTGAAGAAAAAAAATAATAGTATTTTCCAATATCCCAAATCATCAAAGGGCACCAGTTTACCACTTGACTTATCTGTATAGCAAGTTTCATCCAGAAAGAGTCAACGGCTATGTAGATTCCGCTCCCGAAATGAGCACTAATTTCATTGCAACTCATCATACAAACTTTACAAAAATTTAAACAAATGGAAAATGTACCAAATCATTAAAAGACACGACTTCACCACCTGACTGATTCTGTATAGTGAGACATGCTGATCGCTATATTCATGTCTCTAACAAATACTGATGATACTTTTTGCTCCGCAAATCTCTATCATATATTGGTGTTCGGATGTTTCAATTATAACCAATGGATAATCCAGGTTGCAAACTTATCTCAAACCAGTTTTTTAAATAAAATATATATTTTCATCTGAACACTAAATTGTTTCGATTTATGCATCAATGAGCAATGGGGGCATCTGACGGCCTCGAACTCGCCCAACGCGCATATCCCTGTCCATATCCTACACATACACACATCATCACAAAGCCCAGTTTGCTCATATGTACATCTGTGCAGGTACAACAGGTACCAAAAGCCACCAAGATCAATATTGGTGGCAATACTAAAAATAGGACCAGACTTCTGGAGGCTTGTTTAGACACTTTCGGACTCGACACAATCTGCAGTTTCTGGATCATAGTTCTTTTGGTATCAGTTTTGTCTAAATTGCAAAATTTGAGGGGTGGATCTAATACTTACAAGTATTAGCCAAAGGAAAGTCAGGTTAGTCTTCTTCCTTGTTACTTTACGATTAACACATCGGAGGGGAATGTTGTCCTAATATTGGTTAAAACAGACTGATTTGAGCATAGTACATGTCTTGTTTGTTTGTTGTTTAAGGCCGCACTAGGCAATATTTCAGCTACATGACGGCGGTCTGTAAATAATGGAGTTTAGACCAGACAACCCAGTGGTTTGCATCATGAGTATCGATCAAAGCTTTATTCTTATTCTTCAGATGTTATAGGGGCGGTTGGGTATCCTAGTGATTTTAAAGGCCAAGGTTCGATTCCCCATATGGGTACAAAATGTGAAGCCCATTTTTGGAGCCAAAATGATATTAAGTTCAGATGTTTTAAGATTTTTATCAAATTCTTTATACCATATGTACACAAATGAGGTGAAATGGGGTTTAACGTCGCATCTAAGTTTATTGCACTTATGTAGTGTGTGTGTGTGTGTGTGTGTGTGCGTGTGTGCGTGTGTGTGTGTGCCTGTTTGTACTAGTCCGGACTGATGCCACTTTAAAGTGGTACCCTAAAATACCATCCCGCAGTTTCGCATGAAAACCCAGACTTCGCCAGACAGGGTAACAACAAGTACCATCTTTTAACACTTCGCGCGGCCGCTCTACCACTAGATCACGGAGGCGGTTCATATGTACAAAAAGAAATGTTATTTGGATTTATCTTACGCGTTTAGCAATTATATTCCATGAACACTACTGTTCATCATTATTACATCCCAATGAGAAGACTTGTGATTTCTATTTGTGTATCAAGTGTCTCATCTTACCAGGACATATGCCATTTGACAATTTGGAAAGAGATGGTCAGTCATGGTTAGAAAAGATACGCTTGAGTTGATACTCAAAGTCAGACCTGTTGTCTACATGAGCTTCCGGGCTTCAGTCATGGCTTTTATGACCATGCTTCCTTCCATGCATCGTATCTATATTGAATCACTCCTTGGTCCTATTGTCTGGGGGCGAATATTCGTCCCGTGGTTGAACCAAAGGGCACTTGTTTAATATTTGACGAACACGAACCAGTTTGGATGAGTGTTCATGAGTGTGATCGAGAAAAAAACATTGGGAGAAGAGTGGGTTTGGTAAATAACCCAAAATTAACTGTGTACAGTCAGTGTGGGAATGCGGGTCAGAATAGGTTCCCAGCAACCTATGCTTGTCCTATGAGGCGCCTAAATGGGTGGGGTAGTCAGGCTTGGTGATTACGTGTCATTGGACACAGAAGGCGTCAATCGTTACTCATAATATCAATCACTGGATTATCTGGCCAAGCCTAGATTATTTACAGGCCCCCGCCATATTTCTTGAATTATACTGATAACTGTGTTTGTTTGTTTAACGCCTCACTCAGCAATATTCCAGCTATATGGCAATCCAGATTCAGACAATCCAGTAATTCACATCATGAGTATTGATCAATGCAATTGGGATACGATGACATGCAACAACCAAGTCAGCGAACCTGCCCACCCAATCCCGTTAGTCTCTCACAAGCATAGGCTGCTGAAGACCAAATCTAACCTGGATCTTCAAGGGTCAATGAACGTGTAATATATCTTTAATCAGTTGTGGAAAGGGTGTTGTTATTCATATACACGATGCATGAAAACAAAAACACTTTTCATGGTACTTTTTATTTTCAGATGTCACTCTGAGTACATGACCAATAACACAGATAACCACACATCCTCATGATGTGCATCAACTGTACAAACGTTTGTTTGCCACATGAGTGTCCTTTCATGAATGCAAAAATTGTTCATGACAATTAAATACAAAAATTAAATATGAATGGATATATCATATTTCCTTTGGGTTACAGCTGAAAACGAACAAATTATAAATGGCTCTCCCAAGTCATGAACATCGAAAGGAAACAGTGTGGGACGGTAAATCATTATTAAATCTATTCAGCATGCAAAATTTTAATATATATACAGTATATTTCCATTGTATTATGGGCCGGTGGCCTGAAGTACCGAATAAATTTGTCTGTCTGTCTGTCTGTAAAAGGCGACTAACGGGATCGGGTGGTCAGGCTCGCTGACTTGGTTGATACATGTCATCGATCCCAATTGCGTGGATCGATGCTCAAGATGTCAATCACTGGATTGTCTGGTCCAGACTCGATTCTTTTACAGACCGCTGCCATATAGCTGGAATACTGCTGAGTGCGGCGTTAAACAACAAACCAACCAACCACTTTTTACAACAAAATACCAAAAGAGGTAGTGTGTCATTTACACCAGGTATTCTGTGTTTGTAGAGTATCTTGGAATGTGATTGGGCAAAGGCCAGGGACCCGTTCCACAAAGCCATCTTAGCGCTAAGGTGAACGTAAGTCCCGTACTTTAACACTGGCTTACGATAGTCGTAACGCTAAGATCGCTTTGTTGAACGGTGCCTAGGAGTACACACTTGGAAATTATACAGAGATAAACCCAATGTTCATGTGCTGTACTCCAGCTATATGACGACATCCTGTGAATAACCGAGTCCAGACCAGACAATCCAGTGATTGATATTGTGACCAAAGATCCACAGGCGTCGGGGTACGATTTCCACCCAATCAACCAAGTCACCGAGCCTGGCCACCCTATCCATTTGACGCCTATAACCAACAGCATAGGTTGATGTTGATCAATTCATGGTATGCCACTTATATGTAAATAACAAAATATCACAACAACAATTTTATCATGGAAGAAACCACGACGAAGGGGATTATCATATCAACATCTTAAGAGGTACTAATATCTTTCAAACATCCGAGTACGAACACATGTTAGACTACACTAAGCAACAAATTAATACCAAAATAGATCCCAATTTCTCCTGTTTCAGTTTACTGTCAAATTGATTTCCCCTGTTGCATTACTGTAACAGATAATGTCAAATAATTTAACTAATTAAATGCAGAGTGGTTAAGCGGATCCTGGAAATATATTCTAGCAACGGTGTGATGACGACATGTAGCGGTTTGAGACAAGGTGTCGCACTCTTCAAAACATCCTCTTCTGCCAAGCCATCAACATGTTAATCGTTTTTGAATACGTTTATTTGTTGTTTAAAGCCGCACTCAGCAATATTCGAGCTATTTGACGGAGCGTCTACTCGGAGATTGGAAGGTCGGGGGTTCGATCCCTGCCCGTGTCATACCAAAAAAACGTTAAAAGATGGTACTTGTTGTTACCCTACCTGGCGCTTGGCATTAAGGGGCTAGAACAAAGACTGGTCGGCTCGGGGTCAGTATACTGTGTCTGAGTGGGGTGTACAAAAACAAAATGTGAACACGTTCTAAATCACCTGTTTCGATTTGGCAACATGATAGTTCGTGTGACGTCACCTATATTCGTGAGTCTGTTCCACGAAACTACTTCTTGTAGCATACTGGCTAAATATGCCTTGTATAGCTACAAAAATCGCATCTAGTCCATCTAAATGCATTGTATATTACTTCATAGCCGTGACACGAAGTAAAATAACTTCTGTCGCTGGTGGAGTGCAATTTCCCCACGTTCCACCGACCGTATCCTCGTGCGAGAGACTACGACCGGTATGATGTCACTTTGTTGCCAGTTGGATCGGTTGTAGATTTTTCTGAGACGAGAGAGTGATAGCCGGTTCGAGCCGAGATACCGTATTCGACCCAAAAAGCGCGCGCCCCCGCCGCCGCCAGCTTTTACTTAACATATTTAAAATAATTATAACCCTAAGCGAAGCAGCTGATCGCTATTGCCGGGTATTATTTTTTACATGGAACCAGTCTGACCAGTCACCGTCAAGGCTTCCGTGCACGTGATCGCGTGATCGCGAGAATTACGTGTTGACATAGAATCGTCCAACAAAAACAAATATGACTTTTAACGAATCAAAGTATGGCATTTATGATATATGTATCCATTCTCTCTCAACTAAAGTTCGTTTCAAGGCGTCAATAGCGGTAATCTGACCGTGGTTGCTGTTAATAACGGTGAGTTGTGCGATCTTCCGATCGCTTCACACACGATTTCACCGAAATTAATTAAAACAATATTAAAAGGAATATTGAATAAAATTAATGAAATAAGTTACAAACATAAGTCCAGATATACAAAGAAGACATTTTATAGCCAGACAGTGTAATTACATGAATAATTTGCGAACTTCAGTATGGATTTGTTGACATGGTATTTCCGGTGTTACGTGCTCACACTGTTGCGCCAATTTATGGTACGCATCTATGGGATAGAGCTAAAGCGGTGTAAAACAATATTCATTCCTTCTGGATGTCACTGTTTGAGGCGCACGTAGAATGTATGATTTTATTTAATATTCAACGTTCTGGCTCCGCCAACAACTTGTCATGGGCGGATACAGCTTTTTTTAAAAGGGGGGTGCGCACAATTAAGATCTATATATTGTCTTTGGTGGTAATTTATACAGAAATAAAGATTTTTTTCGAAATAAAAAGGAGGGATAGGGCCCATGCTTGTAATACTATCTTTACTACATGAAGGTTATTTTCTTTAGTAGGAATGATGATGCAATACGACAAACAATACCGATGTTAGTCAAAAGTGTCAGTGCGCGGTCGGCAACGCTAAAAAATCTAATTTTTAAATTTATAATATGTCCTATGGTAAATTCTATAATTATATGACGGTATATATCTTTTGTAGGTGGTATAGCATTTTCGCGTCTGGCCAGTTACACATACACTGCTGACAATACATTTATCATTGACAGTTGTTTCTTTAAACTTTCTTTAGTTCTCTATACATCTTGAGCTCATAATATTTTATGAGTATAGTCTTGATACCTTCGAGGCAGATGAGTGATATTTTACGTGCGCTTTGCTAAATTAGCGCCATATCGCGCCATGACGTAATTATGTATATCTAATCATGCCTTAAACTATGGTTACCTCTGACAAATTTAATTGCATCTTTCTTTGGTCGATAGTAAGTGCTATTATTCTCAGTTTGAAATATCAATGTGCATGTTTAACTATTCCGTTTTCGTTATGAAGGTACACTTTTCGTAATAACTTTTACAAAATGGAGGAGGAATACGGCGAGTGGGAAGAGGTATGGTCGCCTTTCTGTAATTATATTGAATTCGTCACGAGTAGAATTTTGCTTTGATTTTCAGAAAGTTGTTATTAATACGTTCAGCGTATGCAGATAGCATGGCATCATGGAACTGTCAGTTAATTGACATCTTGATAAAATGATCTTTTTGTCATTTTGCGCCATACAAGATTTACAAATATCCGGACCAGACCTTATATATTTATGAGACGGTTTGTCGGTGGGAAAGACCTCTCACATCAACAAAAAAACCCACAATGTTACGATCTATTTTAAGTTTTCAATATTCTGCCTTTTAACATCATTAGCTGGAAACCTGTCTTGTTAGCAACAAAAACAACTGTTCAAAATCTTTAACATGGCGAATAAAATCAAAGGCATCTCAGGGCCCGGAATTTATTCATACCGACTAGAACCAGGTTTCATAATAAGTTTTGCGATAAGTAATTGTTGAGCGTGTATTTGCTTGTGCAACATTAATATTAATTACGTTTGTGATGTTATTTATTTGTATGTGTGTTTATTAATAATCTGAGGTCTTTTGCTGATGTAACCCAAATTTCCTTCGGCATCATATAGTGTTTTCTTATCGTATAATGGCAGGGAAAAGGGCTTCACCCATTGTACCCAAATGGGGAATTGAACCCAGGTCTTTGGCAGGATGATCCAAGCTTTAAGAGTTTCACTACCCGGCTATCCAACTGCCCTACTAACTCCTAGTGAATATCTGGAAGGACTACCATGACTACTGGATTCTCTTTTCTTCTATAATACAGTTATGGAACAAGTTGATAGATCCACTTCTCTGAAACACCCTGTGTATATACCCTGGCTACAATATAATTTTTTTTAGCCAAACACATTTGACCCCCTTCATGCCATAGAGTCCTTGAACATGATGAATACAAGATCTTAAAGCACTACTACATACACACACATTATAAGTTGTAGCATAAAACCCCATGTACCCCGAGTGATCCTGCTACAACGAATTTATCTTACCGACATGTTTTAATTTGACATTGTAAAATAATTCAAATAAATTCCAAATTGATAAAAAACAGCTTCTCAATTGAGCTGAGGTTAGCTTGGGCTATGTCATGTGACATCCACTGGCTCGGAAAAAGCATGCAGCTTTTTGCTTGGAAGCAGGGTATTAAGGATTTAGGCTGTCTCTCAGAAATGCACGTGCAGCCTGTAGTACTCGTGGCGGGGTATAAGAGATTTATTTCCCCTCTGAGAAATTTATTCCCCTCCAAGGCGGGTTACACAGTATTTTATCAAGATCACGTGGACCAGTCAGATCTGATCATTCTGACATTGAGGTATGATAAACTATGTTTCTATTTTCAGTGTTTGGAATACTGAATTGATGTATTATGCAGCTGTTTTTTATGTCTTCAGGAGACGCTGGTTGTGGCCGAGCTGTCGGGTCTGATCGACAGCGAAACCCTGAAGAAAGACAATCTCAAATGTGAAGTATTGGTAGGTATATATAATCTGTAGCCTCATGTGAGCATATATCACTACATATAAGTGGTGTAAGGTTATGGCCACACAGTATTGTGTCCTAAAACAATGCATCAATTTACAACTCCTGTAACGTGATACATTACATTACAAATTATTTTGGTGTAAAAACATGTGAATAATGACAAATTTAAAATGCTAAACAATACAGTTAAACAACCAGCTTACTCAGATTTTCTAGTATTTCCTGGTTGACTTTTAATAGCATAACATTCACAGTGCCCTGTAGCCTATATGTTTCTGATCTAAAATATTCCATCTTCAGTCTCTGAAATTTGAAAACAAATGGTTGTGATTCATCTGCATAAAGAAGCATATCAACGTATATGAAATAAAAGTACTGTATCATGTGTATCAGAATTTCAGTCATTTGATTATGGTAGAAGCGTATATGTAGCATCATGTCATTCAAATCAGGCTTTAAATAAATCTATGGTGGCCAAAGGTTCCATGGTGTTTATCATTTCAGAATGGAGATGATCAAGGATGATAGCCTTTCTATGAAATAGACTTTTGTTTCACACTTTTTTAATTTTAGGTTTCACAGATTTATTTGTTTCCACCCTTTTCCACACAAGGTCCGTCAAAATAAAAATAAATTTAAATCATGATAAATAGGTATGTCAATCATTTATTTATTTATATGAAAGTTAATATTTTGTGGAGTTAAAACTGCAGGTGGACTCTTGAATCACTGATAGTGATGTAGACATAGAATTTTTCTATAACATTTTAAAATGTATACTAGGGACTATATTACTAGTGGGAGACATAATAAAAAGACACAAAAGTTGTTGTGTACACAGAAGATTGATCATTCTGTGAAGACATTTGGTTTGTAGCATCATGATCTGCATTTTCTCTCTAAAAATATATATGATTACAGTTACTTTTGCCTTTGTGGTAAGGGGTAAGGAAAGAAGACTTTGTACTTTTTAACGTATCCTCTCGATCTTACTCTGAAAACCATAGCAAAATAGTTCTGGCATAGAATGTTATTTCACTTGAGCATGTTGAGTGAGATATCAAATATGTTTTTTCTGACAAATACAGTATTTCTTTGCTGTGTACATTATATTGTTTTTCTGTTTGTTTCAGGGTATAGATACTGATAGGCCTGTTCTTCAAATTGAAAACTATGTCTTTTCTGGGGAATATGAAGATTCAGTTGGAACAGCCATGATATTTCAAGGAATATCTGCCGGTGAGTCATTAGAATGTTGGGAGAAGATGAGCTGACTACTGAACAAAGCACCAATAATATGATCAATCCTCCATAGTGTATCATATACCCGGTAATGCAGTGTTTATTTGATAACAAGCACAGCTGTGATAACACACAAGCTTTATGCCTGTGAAGATCCAGATTAGAATTGGTCATAAGCAACCCATGCTTGTCGTAATAGGCGACTAATGGGATCAGGTGGTCAGGCTCGATGATATCAATCACTGGATTGTTTGGTCCAGACTTGTTTATTTACACACCACCGTCGATTAACTGGAATATTGCTGAGTGTGGCATTAAACAACAAACAAACAATCAATCAAACACAAGTTTTAGGATTAATCTTCTTTAGTATAATGAGGTTTATGACCTACCCGGTTACTTTTTGTGATTTTATGCTCATATTTAAAAGGGATGGGATGTGGGAAGACTTTTGTCTCCTTTATACTCTTTATAATTTATCCTTGTGTGGCTGAAATCTTCCCGGTGCAATGTAAAATGTTAACTCACCCTTTGTAATTTAGATTCATCAGTGCCTGATTCGGATTTGAAGGACCTGGAGTACATGTGCTCCACTCGCAAGAAGCTGGGGATGAAGAGGGCATTCCTCCAGAGCAAGAACATTGCAGAGAGTAAGTGTGTGAATATCCAGCATGTTTATACAATACATCAGATCAGTCATCAGACAATACAGTTCTGTGTGTGTGAAAGTGAGAGAATGGTTCCACCATATCTGTCCTCATGGGTTGGACACATGTTACGTCTTGTTTTCCTTTTCCTCCCATTCAGCTGACTGACCACGCATACTCTTCAAATAAATACTCATTCACTACACTTTCAGTTCCCAGTTCAATTTGACTTGGTTAAATCTACCTAGCTGTTTTGAAAATACAGAATGTTTATCTCCTAACTCACTCACTCACTTCAGGTAAATCTGATGAGCTACCTATCATCTAATGAATACAGAAACCTTTCATTGCAGAGAGTACCTACTCCGACTGTTTTACATTTTACATTTGTGGAATCTATATTCTGTTATCAGCAACTGAGATAACTTGGCCTACTTTGGCTCTTGATATGATTGGTTGGTTGATTTGTTGTTTAACGCCGCACTCAGCAATATTCCAGCTATATGATGGCGGTCTGTAAATAATCGAGTCTGGACCAGACCATCCAGTGATTGACATCATGAACATCGATCAATGAGACTGGAAATGGATGACATGCATAAACCAAGTCAGCGAGCCTGACCACCCGATCCCGTTAGTCTTTTTACGACAACGTAGTCGCCTTTTATGGCAAGCATGGGTTGTTGAAGACCTTTTCAACCCCGGAACTTCACTGGTCCTCTTGATATGGCTAAACAGTTCTTTGAAAAACAGCAATCATGCCATCAAGCATCAGACAAGATGTGTTTTTTGTGCATTTCCCCCTGGAAACACATCGAGTGAGATTCGAACCCCAGCAATGACATTGTTGTGTTTGATTATCTCATACCTAAATACATTTTGATTTTTGTGGCCATTTTGCCAAACATTACATGAATTCAATTATGCTTTTTCAAAGTGCGTTGGTATATTTCAAGTTCTGGTTTACTTCAAACAGAGGACTTTCCTGAAAGATCTTTTTTTTAACTGCAGCACACACACAAAACATTCAGGATGAAGATGAACATGACACAGATGGGGCAGAGGAAGATGCAGAGGACATGGAACCTGACACAGATCCTGCTGAAAGTACAGACACCCCTGTTGCCTCAACGTCTGGTGTCCAGATAACTCAAACATCAACTGGCTCCTGACACAAAGACACTTGCTGCCATAGTTTCTGGCTTTCACGTATCTCAGTCGTAGTCTTCATCCCATTCTCCATCTCCATCTTGTTCCTGGCACAAAGACACTTGCTGCATCAACATCTGAGGTTGGAATTACTTGTTTCATAGATGAACCATGACAAGACAATAACATCACAAGCAGCAGTAAGACCTGGACAAAGCTGGAAGCTTTGATTTTTTCCATCATTTCTGGAACCAGCTGCAATATATTTTTTGTAATTGTACCTCACTGAGAACAGTGGGACAGGTTTGACTGTGTCTATTTTGGACATAAGTGTATGATGCAGTAGGGTGACTTTTGGGGTCTTGTCAAGACTTCAGTGAAGCTGAAAAGGTTCCATATCGACTTACGCTTTTACAGCTACACAAGTATTCTGGTCAGGACCACTTAGGCACAATTGTTGTCTTATGCCAACTGTAACCCAAAGGAAATATGAGCTATCCATTCATTATTAATTTATGTATTTAATTGTCATGAACAATTTTTGCATTCATGAAAGGACACTGATGTGGCAAACAAACGTTTGTACAGTTGATGCACATCATGAGGATGTGTGGTTATCTGTGTTATTGGTCATGTACTCAGAGTGACATCTGAAAATAAAAAGTACCATGAAAAGTGTTTTTGTTTTCATGCATTGTGTATATGAATAACAACACCCTTTCCACAACCGATCAAAGATATAGTACATGTTCATTGACCCTTGAAGATCCAGGTTAGATTTGGTCTTCAGCAGCCTATGCTTGTGAGAGACTAACGGGATTGGTTTGACAGGCTCGCTGACTCCGTTGTTGGATGTCATCGTATCCCAATTGCATGGATGATACTCATGATGTGAATTACTGGATTGTCATTTAGCTGGAATATTGCTGAGTGAGGCGTTAAACAAACAAACAAACACAGTTATCAGTACTATTCATGAAATATGGCGGGGGCCTGTAAATAATCTAGGCTTGGCCAGATAATCCAGTGATTGATATTATGAGTAACGATTGACAGCTTCTGTGTCCAATGACACGTAATCACCAATCCTGACTACCCCACCCATTTAGGTGCCTCATAGGACAAGCATGGGTTGCTGGGAACCTATTCTTACCTGCATTCCCACACCGACTGTACACAGTTAATTTTGGGTTATTTACCAAACCCACTCTTCTCCTAATGTTTTTTTCTCGATCACTCATGAATACTCATCCAAACTGGTTCGTGTTCGTCAAATAATAAACAAGTGCCCTTTGGTTGAACCACGGGACGAATATTCGCCCCCAGACAATAGGACCAAGGAGTGACCCAATATAGATACGATAAGGAAGCATGGTCATAAAAGCCATGACTGAAGCCCACAAGCTTATGTAGACAACAGGTCTGACTTTGAGTATCCACTCAAGCGTATCTTTTCTAACCATGACTGGCCATCTCTTTCAGTCTGCTTTCTGGATGGATAATCGATACAGTATTTCAGGCCAGTATTTTGGGATTTAATAATGATGAACAGTAGTATTCCTGGAATATAATTGTTAAACGATTCAGATAAATCCAAATATAATTTCTTTGTGTACATATGGACCGCCTCCGTGGTCTAGTGGTAGAGCGTCCGCGCGCAGAGTGTTCAAAGATGGTACTTGTTGTTACCCTGTCTGGCGCTCGACATCAAGGGCCTAAAACAAGGACTTTTCGGCTTGGAGTCACACACACACACACACACACACACACATACACACACACGTCGCTATATAAGTGCAATAAAATTAGATACGACGTTAAACCCGATTTTAACTCACTTGTGTACATATGGTATAAAGAATATGATAAAAATCTTAAAACATCTGAACTTAAAAGGGTTAGTTTTACGCCGCTTTTAGCAACATTCCTGTAATATCATTTGGGCTCCAGAAATGGGCTTCACATTTTGTACCCATATGGGGAATCGAACCTAGGCCTTTAAAATCACTAGGATACCCAACCGCCCCTATAACATCTGAAGAATAAGAATAAAGCTTTGATCGATACTCATGATGCGAACCACTGGGCTGTCTGGTCTTGCCGAAATATTGCTGAGTGCGGCCTTAACAACAAATAAACAAGACATGTACTATGCTCAAATCAGTCTGTTTTAACCAATATTAGGACAACATTCCCCTCCGATGTGTTAATCGTAAAGTAACAAGGAAGAAAACTAACCTGACTTTCCTTCGGCTAATACTTTTAAGTATTAGATCCATCCCTCAAATTTTGCAATTTCGACAAAACTGATACCAAAAGAACTATGATCCAGAAACTGCACTGATTGTTCCAGCCCGAAAGTGTCTAGAGAAGCCTCCAGAAGTCTGGTCCTATTTTTAGTATTGCCACCAATGTTTTTTGTTTTTAAATTATTTTTTTATTCAGTCATATACACAGGATACAGGTACAGTCGAATAACAGTACATATTCGTGTATAAAGGTAATTCGCAAGAGGATGTGGTACAGAGGCGGCAGAAGGCATAATCCACAGCATGGTACAGATGAAGGCATATTTATGTATACAATTAAGAAGGTGCGGTATTTATGGTACATCAGATTATGTTGCAAGCATCAAGTGAATAAGTTATTATACCATTTGAGTAAACAAAGCCCATTTTCTGTCAAAGGCAGAGAAGTAATTATTTCTACGTGCACTATGATATTCAACGTCATAGATACTTCTTATTGTGTTCTTATTATGGTTAATTAATACATCAGGGGTACCAAAAAGGAGCTCGTTGTCAGTATTGCCACCAATATTGATCTTGGTGGCTTTTGGTACCTGTTGTATATTTACAGATGTACATATGAGCAAACTGGGCTTTGGAATGATGTGTGTATGTGTAGGATATGGACAGGGATATGCGCGTTGGGCGAGTTCGAGGCTGTCAGATGCCTCCATTGCTCATTGATGCATAAACCGAAACAATTTAGTGTTCAGATGAAAATATATATTTTATTTAAAAAACTGGTTTGAGATAAGCTTGCAACCTGGATTATTCGTTGGTTATAATTGAAACATCCGAACACCAATATATAATAGAGATTTGCGGAACAAAAAGTATCATTAGTATTGGTTGTGCTGTAGTAGTATGGGCTAGTATGTCCCCGTAGTTTTACCTCACTCCAACGTTGTCGACCATGGGAAAGTTAGCTTAACCATGGCATTGGTCCTCGCCCACCCAACAGCACAGATCTGAAAAAGCCCTTCTAATTAATGAACTTATCAATATAAAATTACATGTTTATGCTACAATAAGCCATATTTTTCATGTACAACTTAAAATGGCCAGCGCTGAAGCTGCCACGTGCAGAAATCCGAACTGAATCTCTATTTTCATATTTGAAACCTACATTAATCTACTCAAACACTCCTCCACATATGGTCTAGTTTGATAATGGTTACATGTAGATATATCTATGAAGGATAAATAATCATGCTATCGGTGTTATTGTTAGAGTCATGACTGCAAATTCCGGATTGATAGTTTTTGTTTCAGAGATATGTATTATGATAAACGCAATTAATATGTTATGCTAAAGATTCCTTCCTTTGAAAAACTGAGGAAATAGCGATCAGCATGTCTTACTAAACAGAATCAGTCAGGTGGTGAACTGGTGTCTTTTGATGATTTGGTACATTTTCCATTTGTTTAAATTTTTGTAAAGTTTGTATGAGTTGCAATGAAAGTAGTGTTCATTTCGGGAGCGGAATCTACATAACCAGTGACTCTTTCTGGATGAAACTTGCTATACAGATAAGTCAAGTGGTAAACTTGTGCCTTTTGATGATTTGGGGTATTGAAAAATACTAATGTATGTTTCTTCACTTTACTGAAGGTATCCAATGGCAATGAACCAAGAAAGGGGTACTAGTAGCCAAACTCCATTTCCGAATTGCACCAGACTGGGGGGATATGTCAGCTCCCGATGACTCTTGTGATAAACTATTTCCACTTTTCCCGAAAAAAGGATGTAGGCCTAAGGATTATGGAAAAAAGGACTTCCTCAATGTTATCACCAAACACCAGTCACGAAATATTTAAGTTCCCCTCCTCATTGACACGACACGGGAACACCCAGGCTGGTTGTCTTATGCTTTGACAATCACGCCTTGGTTGTCCTGGTCCCGTATGAATACCCTGGACGCAATGGTAAAGTTTGAATACTGGTTACCAAATGCATATAAGACGTCAACACCCAGGCTGGTTGTGTGATGCTCTGACAATCACGCCTTGGTTGTCCTGGTTCAATATGATTACCCTGGACGCAATGGTAAAGTTTGAATACTGGTTACCACGTACATATTAGACGTCAACACCCAGGCTTGTTGTGTGATGCTTTGACAATCACGCCTTGGTTGTCCTGGTCCCGTATGATTACCCTGGACGCAATGGTAAAGTTTGAATACTGGTTACCAAATGCATATAAGACGTCAACACCTGACTGGGGGGATATGTCATCTCACGATTACTCTTGTGATAAACTATTTCCACTTTTCCCGAAAAGAGGATGTATAAGGACTTCCTCAATGTTATCACCAAGCACCAGTCACGAAATATTTAAGTTCCCTTCCTTCTCATTGACACGAAACGGGAACACCCAGGCTGGTTGTGTGATGCTCTGACAATCACGCCTTGGTTGTCCTGGTCCAATATGATTACCCTGGACGCCACGGTAAAGTTTGAATACTGGTTACCACATGCATATAAGACGTCAACACCCGAGAATAATCAGTCTTGTTTATCCACCTAAGCAGATTCCAGGCCATATAACCATGATAATTACGTGAATGGATCACAGAACATCAGTGATGACACCCGTTTTCACCATCTATGCAATCATTCTGTCATGATTCATTTTATAAAGAATAAACTGTTAACTTCTTATACTCCCAGAACCCGGTTGTATCAAACTGAAGTGATTCATTAACGTGTCATTAAACCTCCATTAACTAATGTGCCATTAAATTCAGTTTATGAAATTTTTAATGATATACGTACATTAACGGGAAATGACTTAATGCAGGTTTGGGGGTCTACCATTAAACGAGCCATGCCTAAGAATATACGCTATTACGTTGATAAAATGAAGGATGTCCATAAAAAAGTTGTGTAATGCTCTTACAAAAAAAACAACACATACAGCACTTGAGATGTGTGAGTAGGTGAATTGGATTTAACGCCGCTTTTAACAGTATTTCAGTTATATCATGACGTATCAGCTTAATGTGACGCTTAAGGTCTCAGACGTTTACTACTTTTCTGAAACCCATGAGCACGGGTATGGTGCACACCCACCTTGAAACATAATTCGAAACGGGATTCGAACCCACTGTCATAGGGTTCTAGCGTGTCTCCATTATATTGTGCGTGACTCAACTCTGCACAGTGAATTTCGACGCTTTAGACGACAGGGCCACCCGTGTCCCCTACAAAATGCACGCCAGAAGTCATGCATATGGTGATTATGAGTTGTCAAGTTTTCGAGTCAAGACAACGGGACAATTACTCATTTGAAAGATGACAGGAATGAGAACGTGCTCAAAAGTTAATTAAGTTTTGATACGACTGGGTCCAGAATGTGACGTCACACCTCTTAAGTTTGTTCCAGTCTCTCTGAACTTTCACGCATTGCATTAAACACATCATTACATGGTTCTGCGAAAAAGTCCTTCAGGTTCTTACTGCTCGATGGCTTCTTACTTTCTTCAGTTTCTACCACCAGATCAATCTTCTCCAAATCGTCCTTGGCTGGACCCTGTTTTCCTTGCAAGTTATCTTGTATCTTAAAAAAACCTCTTTTTCTGACTTTTCCCCACTTCGTTCCAGACTGAAAGATTCCGGACTGGATTCAAAAGCAGAATTTGCATAAGATATAGGCCTTGATGTTTTAGTGTCTGTCCCGCCATCTTCAATGGACCTGAACTTCCTTTTGGGCAGAGAGAGTTCAAGCCTTCGCCAGAATGTCTTGAGCTTATTCTCTTCTCCGTCCCGAGGCCACTCTATGTAGGTGATCGACTTGAGGATGCTGGTGAGGGTTCTGTCTGTGAGATGCTTCTGTTGACTGATGTCCTCCAGAAGGAGAGGGATGACCTTGTGTTTCTGCTTCAGCATCTCATTGTGTGCAACCTGGTACTCAAACCTGGTAAAGTCACTCTCCATGTATTTCGGGGACAGAACCAGAATCGTTCTCCGACTTTTCTCGATGGCCCATAGGATGTTGTTTGCTATAGCTGAAACACATACAGGAATGGCATAAAAATATGTTCTTCAAGAAGAGGTCAAGGTCATTCCGAGTATGAAACATACAAATAGGAAACGGAAGAAATCTTTTAAGTTCACTCATATTTCAGAGGACGTCTTAGAAAGGACAAGAATTTATTTAAAGTATTTGAGCCAGGACATTCTACGGGGATGAGATCATTTTCTGGAAAGTTGGCCATATTGTAGGAGTTTCAGTTTTCATTTTCTAAAATTCGTAGAAGTTACTTGCTTGAAACGAAAGGAACCTTGAAAACTCAAGCTACGTTTATTGGATCCACGCACATTTACATGCTAACTACGACATACATACTTTCTCCTGGGACAAAATCTCTCTGATGTAAACACAGCTTGAAGCCCCGTTGTTTTTCCAGCTCGGGATACAAAGTCCTATAAACGAACGTCTCATCTTCTGGTGAGGACTTGTACGATATGAAGGCATCAAATTCCTTTCCATCTACAAATGACAAGTACACATATGCTACTTTTCGTATTCTGAGAATGCTGATGTTTTATCTAACGAGAGTAACAATATTCTTTACGACCATAGACAAAAAGAGGATGGACTCCACTGAAGTCTCCTCGACTCAGTGAAAGCACCAGTAGTTGTCATTTCTTCCATCACTTTCATATTCATTTTAATATTTATGTACTTAGTACTGTTTGCCGTCACATCAGTGCCTACGCAGATAAATGATCTAGGTCTGAAATAGGGGACAATGGTGTATAACAATGACATGATGATTTTTGAAATTGGAATTTACGGTTTGGAATCATGTATGATCAGCGAATATAGAGAGACCTGTCAGATCCATAATCTTAATGCATGCGTACTACATCGCTTTGTCATATATTATAATCCAGATAATGACTTAACTATATTATTTTTGACATTGTTTGCTTGATTTTTGTAAGGGCGACAACGGGATGTCCCTTTTAGATTTCCATAGCACTGGGTAGAACAGGACATGTCACATATTATTAATGTAATTCACACCCATTTTGCTTTTGTATCATATAGTTCATTTAGAGTTCAAACTTAAAAAAACTCTTAATTTTTAAAAATTATTATTATTATTATTTGGCCCACTCTGCAATAATCATACACTGCTTTGTGGTGTCTCCCGTAGCAACTGACATTACTCACCATCATCCTCGTGAGGCTGGAAGTAGTATAGGACTCGCATGATGAAGATGTTCCTCTTCCTCATGAGGACATAGGTCACGAGGACAAGGGACCCGAGGACGGCCAATAGTGCAATTATACACCCAATCAGCCAGGATTTCCAGTTTCCGGTTACTATAGAACAAAATATAACCTCAGTGTGACAGAGATTGAACAAACAAACTGCATGATAATCTAGTTATTAAGAATGGTCTTCCAAAGTGAGATCTGATGTAATACGGTTATAAACCAAGGATCATACTCAGGGCGAATATGGAATTCAACCCCACGATCATAGAATCCTGACAGGCCTAAGGGACACAACTCTTCAACACAAATTTCAGTGCCTTTGACGACTGGGCCACCTATGGAAGATTAAGATATGAGATCGCCTGTTCTTGTAACGCATATTATCCACGGGACAAAGGGCAACACACAGTTCAGTTACTGTCTACGATTAGTTTGATCCATCAGAGGACTGAGCCAAAGGTGTCTCAATTATTTAGTTCGGGTGTTTTAAACTTTTCATCCAAAACGACACGCCATATGATCGCTTATATACTCACCGCTAAAAGAAAAGTACAAGAAACCATACATATATGAAGAATTACTCATATTCAAGAGACATTAGTTTGGTTCGATGCACAAACGAACATACTGTTATTTTGCGTGAACCGACGCTCATGAACGCATCACATGTGACGTCACGGTCATAGATCCATAACTCGAGCTGCACCATTTTTCTCGTGCAGGATTAGAGTGTAAAGTTTGGAAATCGCGTGCAGCATATCGTGATAAGAATAAGGACTCTCTGTGGTAACATTTAACTGTTTTGTCATGAAGTGGTACACATTGGAAACATCTCATCTTAACCAACATACTTTTCTATATGTTTCTATGGTTCGCGTTTCTATTGGCGGTGAGTATATATTTAACCCTGAGATAAACAGAAACAGAAAGAAATAATGAATACCAATCGCACATACCAATGGATAAGATCTATATTTTTGTCATAGATGAACAAATATTACATCAATTAGAGTGAGTGAGTTGGGTTTAACGCCGCTTTTAACAGTATTCCAGTTTTATCGCGGCGTGTCAGCTTAATGTGGGAGGAAAGCCCGAAATGATGCAGGTCTCAGACATTTACCACTTCGGTGAAACCCACGAGCACGGGTATGGAGATGACAAACCTAGAAACATGATCGGGGCGAACCGGGATTCGAACCCACAATCACAGATTTCTGGTTTCACAGGGACGCAACTCTGCTCAGCGAATCGCGGCACCTTAGACGACTGGGCCACCCGTTCTCCCACATAAATTAGAAATGACACCTAGTAGCGATTCGTAACCTGCAAATGGTTTTAGCTGCGAGATGAAATTGGTCGAGTACGTAAAGTGTCCCAAAGGACATCCCTCCCCCGCCTCTCCACCCCCGCCCACCAACCCCCACTCCACACCCCCGCCCACCAACCCCCACTCCACACCCCCAATGATCTTGTTAACCAGAATGTCGACTTTCAAATCAAATGATTACACATAACTAAAAACGACAAAACCCTTTCCATATTCATCAGACAACTCTGCTTAAAGCAGAGTCGATTACACGATTCCGACTACATTATGAGCTTGTGTTTATGAAGCACTTGTGATGCTACTAGGTGTTCCCGAATGTGTTCCCCAGGGTTGGTTGGTTGGTTGGTTGGTTGTTGTTTTGTTGTTTAACGCCGCACTCGGCAATATTCCTGCTATATGACGGCGGTCTGTAAATAATCGAGTCTGGAACAGACAATCCAGTGATTGATATCATGAGCATCGATCCTCGCAATGTGGGATCGATGAGATGCATCAACCAAAATGTAAGTCAGCGAGCCTGACCACCCGATCCCGTTAGTCCCTCTATGACAAGGACTAAACAGGGCCCAACCCAAGTATTCTTGTTAACTGTTGGTCTAGTTTAGCGATTCTACACCACGACAGTATAGGTGAAATTGAATATTTTTCTGTTATGAATGAATCCTGTACAAAGTCCATAGATAGTTGAAAACGCTTATTGCTATATAAATAGCAAGATTCGAACATGCGCTCGTAACCTGATGATGTCGTATTGGATTGTGAGAATATTCGGGAAATACCCACCTGGTCATAAAATGGACTTGTCCGACATTGTCGAGGTCGGATTCTATTGAAGGAGTCATCATTATTTAAATACGGGTAAATATTTTTTATCATCATCCCTAATGTTGATATCTCATATAAGAAATAAACGACTCGTGGTCGTTGTGTATCGTACAATAAAACACTGCAGGGAGAATAAACCAGTCCTTCATGGTTTTATTGTGCGATAGACAACTCCCACTCCATTCGTGACCAACTCTTGTTATTCCGGGACAAGCCGAATAGCGACTCGTGCCCCTCTCTCATGGCCATTTTTGCGACTGGGTTCCGTCTTCGCGCAAACGGGCATACCTAAAACAATTGTCAACTCGTTGCGTAATGGTTCACATATATTTACCCATATATCATATGTATTTCAGATGCAATTTAAAGCACATCGGGACGTGCGGAATTATACAGTATGATTGAACACATTTAACTGTGTCTTGGGTATATTTTTAGGTGCAAGACATATGTAAAATAAAAAATTACTTAATTAAGGGATTATTTGACAAAGAACTCGAAATCATACGCGCATTCTGATTGGCTTGTTGTATTTTCGCACATAACATTAATCGATAGGGGGACGAGTCTTCTCTTGCAGGTTACGGAAAGGGGCGAGTGGTGTCGAATGCTCCCACTCGTCGTTTATTTCTTAACGAGCTATTTATCTTACTTACTTACTTACTTTGGAGATTTAACGTGCGCTTTCCGACTGATGCGTATTTCGCACACGGGCCCGGCCAGGCCATTTAATGTGTTTCCGAAAGGGGCGAAAGTGGTCTGTGCAACCCAAGAGGGGGCTTTAGGGGTTGCTTATATAGAATCTGGGAATTTTGAGATTTGGAATAGATGCCGATGGGGTTGGGGAGGAGAACTAAGGGAGCTGGGTATGGTGGATGTTTGTTTGTTTATGTGATTTTGATTTGGTAGGTTATTGTGTTTTTAGATGCGTTTTATTAGTTCCGTTTTGATTAAGAATACGCCTAAGGCCTTGAAGTTTTCTAGTTTATTTTGTGGGTTTAGTATTGCTTCTAGAGTGAGAGCCTTGTTTAGATTGAGGGTGGTTTGTAATGCGGTTCGATGTGTTAGGTAGTGTGTGTGATGAGTGCGTGTTCTGGGGTTTCTAGTTGTTTGCAGTGTGGGCAGATACCTGTAGTGTGTTTTTTTAAATTTTTTAGGTGGTTATTTATGTTGGTGTGTCCTGTTTGGAGTTTAGTGATTACTCTGTCGATTTTTTTTGATGGATGGAGAATTATTGGTTTGGTTAGTGGTTTGCTGAGCACTTTTTTGATTTGGCTATTTGAGTTTAGATATAGGTTATGCCATTTTTGTGATTTTTTACTTGTTTACACTTTTAATTTCTGATTTTGAGATGGGTAAGTTTAAGCTTATTTCTGGGATTTTGAGGGATAGTTTAGCTGCTTTATCGGCGTTTTCATTACCGTATATTCCTACGTGGGCGGGTATCCACAAGAAGGTTATTTGTTTGCCTGCCTTAGTTAGGTCGTTGGAGCTTTTAAGTATTTGATTTATTAATTTAGGTCGGTTTTTGGTATTTTTGTTTTGGAGGGCTGGCAGTCCACTAGGTATTTATCTATAACCATTGACCTTTATATGTTTTGCCTTCTAAACGTAAAAACAGTGTGCACACTTTGTGTAAATCTGAGTGGTTGTATTGTCATGGAGATCCTGCCTAAACAAAATCAAATACCCAACATGCTGATTCATCAGTGGATTACAACACTTCAGAAAGTATTAGCGTTTATTCCCTATTCAGTATAAGCGCACGCATACACATTAACGAGCGAACATATACACACGCGCGCGAGAGAGAGCGAACACACAGTCACTCACGCGCGGGCACACACATACAGAGTCACTCACGCGTGAGCACACACATACACAGTCACTCACGCGCGAGCACACACACACAGAGACACTCGCCCGAGAGCACACAGACGCTTATACACACCACTGCTGTATGTCACCATTGCAGCCATATAACTTCCCATCACTGTACCTATGGCACGTCACAAACATAATCTGTCTTCGACATTGTCATTCTAAAACACTTATTAAAAATAGTACCATGACACTGTAGCTCACTTGAATATGTAGTCAACAGTCACAGTAAAAAGGTTGGCGTCCGCATTGATATTCAAATATATTTTGAGGACCAAAGTATTAACCAATGTGAAATAAGAACTACCTGCATCTGCAAGAATGAATGTGAGTGTGAGTGAGTGTGGTTTTACGCCGCTTTTAGCAATTTCCCAGGAATATCTCGGCGGGGAGCACCAGAAATGGGTTTCACACATTTTACTCATGTGGGGAATCGAAACCTGGTCTAAGGCCTGGCGACCGAACGCTTTAACCATTAGGCTTCCTAAACCTACGGAAGCCTTTGAGGGCCATTTGTTTTTTTATTTTATTCGATACTATCTTGAAATTTCAACTTAGTATCTTGAAATTTCAACTTATGTATCTTGAAGATAATAACTTGAAATTTCAACTAAGTATCAGATAATAACTTGAAATTTCAACTTAGTATCCTGAAATTTCAAGATGATTATCTTGAAATTTTAAGTTAGTATGTATCTTGAAATTTCAAGTTAGTATGTATCTTGAAATTTCAACTTGGTATCCTGAAATGTCAAGATACATAAATTGAAATTTCAAGATATGAAATTATGGAAGATTGTTGCAATAACCAACATGGTTTTTGATTACACAAACTCTGAGCCATACCACTTTCGCATCTGTTTGACACACACACACAAATCTTAATGAATGAACAAACAATGATGTCATCATAGTAAAACATAATGCCAGAATTCCGCTTCCCTAGTCTGTCAGTTAAAGAAGAGGAGGAGAAAACGCATTTTGAGAAGAAATAAGAGCATTACAGTACAGTTTACGGTGAAATGATGAACAGCAGCCATAAATGTTGATTCCTTTTAACGACCATGGGGGAAATCATGTTCGAGCCCCTTGAGAAACAAGCAGGAAAAGTTTCAGCATCATCGGTCCAGAGATACAGATGTCGACGACGACGAAGGACGCCTAACAAGGGGGGTTAATTAATGAGCATATGATACAAATGCTTCTGTGGCTGCACACGTCGAACTAATAGCACAACTTGACGTGCACAATAGATCACTTAGCCAGTCATCAGGTATACATAACATTAAGGTAGTGTTTTATTATTACGTGATAAAGATTGTGCTCAGTAACAGACGTGAGTGGCATTGATAAATTGAGCAGCTGCTATATTGATATGGAAATGAGGCTATTAATAACAAAAATATCGGCAAAGCTAGGCAATAAAACCCATTAAGGCTCCGCGCGTATTACAGATTTCACAAAAACAGAATCAGAAAAGGAGTCATAGTCTCCTGTTACGTCATTGCTCATTGTAATTTCAAACAGTTGTGACCGCCTCCGTGGTCTAGTGGAAGAGCGTCCGCCCGGAGAGCGGAAGGTCCGGGGTTCGATCCCCGGCGGCGTCATACCAAAAGACGTTAAAAGATGGTACTTGTTGTTACCCTGTCTGGCGCTTGGCATTAAGGGGCTAAAAC